TGTGTGTGTGTGTGTGTGTGTGTGTGTGTGTGTGTGTGTGTGTGTGTGTGTGTGTGTGTGTGTGCACGTACGTACATACGTGCATGTGCGGCGCCAGCGCGTCGCGCCGCACTCGGTGTCCCTCAGTGTCTCCCACCGGCTCGCGGAGGAGACTAGATAGAGAGGACGAGCACTCCGTCGATAACAACTCCGTCCGTCGCTCATGTCGCGATAATCTGTTGTCGGTAAAATATTATCATTGCAACTCCAGGGATAATTGACGAGTATCGAGTTGCGAAAATAACCGAAAGTATTTCATGCGCCATCGAGAGGTTTTTTTTTTTTTTTTTTTGTTATGTTACGATGTATATTAATTCTTATTATTATATAAGTATACTCGGCTTTATTTTGCACTTTGTCTCTCTTCTAGCGATTTACATTAAAAGGAAAATAAGTCCTCTAAAATTTAAGCGAACTAAAATAACTTAATTTTTGAAAACACAAATTGTTTTAATAAACAGTGAAAGAAATTTTAATTTTTATTTCGACGACTCTGATTGCTCCTTTTTTGTCTTTGGTCTGGGCAATCGAGATAATTTATGGTCTCCTATCTTCATTACAAATCTCCTCGAGTCTAATTTTTTGTTCGTAATAATAAGGAAGTATTATTGAAATAAGTCCGAGACGAATCGCTTTCTCTGCCCGCCCTCCTTTACTACGCTACTGGATGTAAGATGTATATATAAAAAAAAAGTATGTTCCACTTGGTGCTCGCAACGATCTTCAAAATTATTTGTCCTTATTTAATATTTGATAAACAAGATGAAATAATACAGAATATCAAATGGAACGCACTTAGAATTTTTTTAGATTTATAATTGAATAAAATCCGAATTATATATGTATTTTTCAAAAATATATTACTAAATAAAATATCAGTAATATATTAAATATAAGAAAAATCTTAAGATAAGCGAAATGGAATGCACTTGGGATACAAGGATGTTCTTTCACATACATCTTTTATAATTCATCATTATCGTGTCTCTGAAACGATAGTATACATACGTCTTATGCAATAACCTTATTTACAAACTGATCATACAAACATTTTATTAACAATCCTTATACTTCTTAGTACATATATGTACCTTTTATTAATAATTCGAATTTTAAAAATCAATTCTTCATACTTTGGTTTCATAAAATAGCAATGGACATCAATAAGAGATTAAAATACATAAAAATATATTAATAAACTGAAGTCTGAATTCTATTTAAGTTTGCTAATCCTAAAAATTTTGTATGTACATATAAATAGGCATTGTGAGTAAACAGAAATTTTATTAATAAACTCAATTAAACAATTTGATATTGTTCAGGCTCTACTTCGTGAATATGTCGTAGGAAAAATGTGACTTTGACTTGTTCAACGTGTCGACACAATTTCATGGCTAAGCTCGTTCGCAGTTTCATATGCTGTGTAAGAGAAGGAAGATTCAGCAACAAAAACGCGAGACCATCAATTTCCTAACCAACAGGAAAATATTAGTGACAATTATAATTTCAATTAAAGTCTTAATATTTATGAAATTAAAATACTTACTTCTTCCTTGACACGATACGCGAGATCTTTGCAATCATTCGTTTTTCTGAGATATCGAAATACATCGTCTACACTCCAATACAATGGATTTGAATCAAGCTTTCGAGTCTTTGGTCGCCTTTGTGTTTTTTGCATTTTAACGTATTCAGCATCTGCTTCGGAACAATCAGATTCTATGCTTGTATCCCAATCTCTTTTAGTTCCTCTAGTCATTCCCAAGTTTTGACTGAATCTTGTGGAATGTTGTTTAGAATTTAAACTTGGAGGACTAGGTAATTCTCGATCCTTTGCTTTTCTATCATTGAATGAACTACCAGAATCCTCTGAAACATTACTAGAAGCTATTTCAGTTTTGAAATCATCCGATTTGTCAGATTTCTCTAAACCTTTTTGTATCATGATGTCTATTTCTGAAAGTGGTTGCCTTCCATCGAATGTCTCAACATGATTCTCTGAGATATGTTTTGCTAAATCTAATGGTATAAATGGCATTTCATCTTCCTGGTCGTATTCCTGTTCGTGAACTTCTTTATGCTTGTTTGCCCATCTACCACGTCGCCGTTTACGTCTTCTACCCCAAGGTTTTGGTTTTTGCACCATAATGCTTGTATATCCTTTTGGTTTTCCTCTTTTTCCAGTTCCAACTGATGCTGCTGAAAATATGAAAGTATCAAATATAAATGAAAATTGAAAATATAAAATATATACATATAAAATGTGTTTTTACATACTGATTATATCACAAATGTACTCATTTTATATATGCGCAATACATAAAATTTTTTCGAGATAGTTACTTACTATATTTCGTTTTTGATGTTTTATAACATTCATCTGGACATTCATTTTCTGATATATGCAACGGACCGAATAAATTTGGGCATACCATCAACTTTTTACAAATACTTCTGCAAAAATCTGCTACCATGTCTCCTGATGTAACAATGGCTACACTCGCACGGTATGTATTATTTTTATGTTTTGCCTTTAAGATTTCTAAATGATATCCAGGATCTGGTTTGGTATCACATTGTAAAACTTTCAAAATTCTAGCACTTCTGTATCCAACAGATACTATCATCGATAAAACTTCTCGCATGACTAATATAACTGGACCAGGTCCTACCGATTTTGGAAGAGTGGCTAATTTACCTTTCGATATCATGGGACCTGTGAAACATCTATAATTAAAATATATCTTTGGACACCAAAGGGAAGAACGTGGCTCAGATATCGGTATGTCCAGAATATTGGTTTTCTTTTCCTCCTTTACGGATGTTTCTAATTTTTTACAAATTTCTATATAGTCGTGCGGAGGTTTTAACGGATAGTGATTAGATTCACACCATCCGACCGGAAATATGTCCAAGGAATACATGTCGACAATATGATCTGGCCGAAAGTATTCGTAATTATCTAATTTTATCCATAACAAATTATCAACGATTTTATTAATGTGGGCGGCGCATATTACATGTTCATGTTCTGGATCAACCGCCTCCAATCTCATACCACATTCGAAACCTGCCTCAATGGCATTCGCACGTTCACCAAATAAGTTTTCAGGCGCTGCGATAGCGTGAAATGTATTCAAATATTCATTCCAATCAAAATTTTCAGTCTTTGAGATCCAACCTTGTGGATGAGTAATCCTGCAAGATTAAAATTTTAAGAAAATGATGATCAAACTCAAAGAATTATATACAAATATACAATATTCATAACAAATATTTCACAAGATTATAGCATATTTATAAATGCAATATTATTATAAATGTATATTTATAAATGCATTAAGATAAATTATTTGAAAATTGGAAAATTGTTGTATCAATTTGATATAACTTACATAATATTATTTTTTTGCGCCCATCCGATTGGAAATATATATGGATGTTCTGCAGTGCACAGCCATGTGTTATTTTCTGAATTATTAGACACATACATATCATCTGATTTGTCCAAGCATTCAACATGTGTATCAATATTCACAAGAAAATATATATCATCAAATACTTTCGTTACAGTAGCAGGGCAAATTTTTATTCGATCTGCTGGATTCAAAGCTTCCAACTTCATTCCAACTTCAAAACCATGCTTTGAATGATCTACATTATTATTAAATAATTCTTCTAATAGCTCGCAATCCTTCGGTTTAGATTCTAACAAATCCTTCCATTCTTCATATGCATGTAAATCGATTATCGAACTAGGTGGTTCCAAAAACCAAGTGGAATTTGACTTAGATGTAAATCCATATGAATGTAAACGCTCGGATGTACAAAATATCCAAAAGCCCTGACGCAAAGAATCGGGAGTATCGTATTTCAGCAAAAGACGTCCTCCAACATTTTCCATAATCTAGAAAGATACAGATTAAATAATTGTAAAAAAAATCAAATATTTTTAAAATGTATAACATATAAAGGTATTTTTAATACTTAGAGCATATAGAAGTAAATATTGCTATTTTTTTATTTTATAATGGTTTGTATTATACTTGCATTGTATATTACAGTTTTTATATAAAATACTTTTTTTCTTTAGAGATATCTAATTCTATAATTCTCAATTCTATTCTTACCGTAGCTACCCATAATTTGTATGGATGCAGCACATCACTTATCTCAACTTTCATACCCTGTTTTATCCTGTCAGTCATACTTAGGCCATCCTATAAAGAAAATGAGTTACATTAAAGTACTAACTGTAAGTACTATTCTACAATAAGCCATAAGTGATAGATCATAAGTCAGAAAATAAGAATTGAATCATAGTCGAATATTCTTATTATTTTCAATCTGTGATTGGTCAATTCTTAGTTTTTGACTTATGATGTTACTTATCGTAGAATGGCCCTAATGCAAAGTCCTGAAAGCATTAATATCTTACTCCTGTTAACATCTCTGCTGGAAGTGTACGTGCTGTTGTTAAAAATTCATGCAGCTTTTCTACGCAGTCTGGTGATCTCTCAAGTATAATGTCAGGTGGCTTCAACTTCTTATTATTTTTCATGCTCCAGCCAAGTTCATGACCAGCTTCTTTTGTAAGATTAAACCAAAATTCTAAAGATCTATCATCACCACCAAAGTAACGTAATCGCAATAAAGGTCCACAAGGCATAACAATAGAAGCTACCCAATATGATTGTTCTTCATCGTTATTTTTTTGCACTGGTACTTCTAGCGACATGCCTATCTCAATACTGTTCTGCAATGTCAACTCCACATGAGGGAACATAATTTGTGGAACTTCCACACTCTTGGTAGCATCAAGATAATCTTGCCAAACAAATCCATATTCTAAAATAAAAATAAAAAATTTAGCATATGATATAAATATTACTAATGATATAAATATTAATCAATTTGAATTTAATAGCAAATTATGATTTTTACTTTATCTTAATAAACTATTATTGTGACAAAAAACTTTATAATATAAACAATATAAATAAATATGTAGTCTAAAAAAAAGACTATTTAATATTATTTACAGTCATGGAATATCCATGTAAATAAAACAAATATTATAATATAATAAAATCATATTTTTTAAAATATTTTAATTAAAAACTTATTTTTATTTAAATTATATTTATATTATCATTCTTTTCTATTAAATTCGCATTATATTCATTATTTATGAATTATTATAGATAAGAATATTTAATTTGTTGAATTAATAATTTTTTTTCATCTTAGCATTTTTATATGCTATTATTGACGCGCAAAACGCCATTTTCTCAATTGTGTTTTAACAGAGAACACATAGAGAATGAAAATGCATTTGCAAAGATTATAAAAGAACATATAAGATTATGCGAAAACAATGTAACGTCTGCTCTTTAATAGATAATTATCATGATACAAAGATCATTTTCAGTACGAAGCACAAAACTTTCTTTCAAAAGTTTTATTTGAAAACGCGTTTCAACTACCATGTTGTCTATAATCCGCATCTACCTTTATCGAAAAGTGATAGCGCTTAAGTTGATCACGTGAAAAAGTCGCGCGGTAACTTGGCAATCGCGTTACAAAACTGATATTGGGAAAAAAATCGCGAATTTCATTCGCACGAGACAAAACTCAATTGGTGCGTGAGCGAAATTTCAAACGAATAGTTATGAAAATTTTTTTTTTTTTTTTTACCTCCGTCCTGCGGTCTTTCTTGCGTTCGATTCTCGTTCATTTCCATCTTTTATTTATACCGCCGGACTCGCGAACGAATTATACGGCACGATCATTAACAAATTTTTCGCAAGCTGCCGGCAATTTGCGTGCGAAATAAACGTAGGTAAAAACCCAATACGAGACCCTGTTGCGATTCACCGTGCGCAAACGAGTGAAGGGCAGTGATCCCAAATCGAGGGATTTTTCCGCGCATGCTCAGTAACGCAGCACAGTAACGTACCTTGTCGAAATATTTATATTATGTGTATCGCGTTATTATCATTTGGGCCCGACAAGAACCTATTAAAACCGACCATCGTGAAATTTTACTTGGCCGTTAAAATTTATACAGTTAGATCGTAGCGTGATATTAATGTTTTAATTTATTATCATCTTGTTGCTTCGTACACTAAGACTCAATAAGACTTAATTCCGTTTAAAACTGCATTTTTATCGTGCATGTTTGACTGCTCATGCGAGTGATAACTGTAAGGAAAAAAAAAAAAAATATAATTTTGCAACGGTGTATTTGGTATTATTTGGTAAATATACTGGCTATTTATGGAGCATTTCTATAAATAATAAATTATGAAATTAATAATGCATTATAAGCTAATTATTCAAATATCCGTGTCAGTAATTGGAAATTATATCGATAGTCGGTATTATTGATATTTTAATACTACATTTTATATTTTTAATACTACATTCTCCCTTTTCTCTTTCTTTCTTCTCTCTCTGGAGTCCATAAAATTATAGAATTTATTCTGGATTGATAATCGATGAGGTTCACATCTATGAACTCAATTCGGTCCATGAAAAAGTCACTAGATCCTAAACACAAATCATCAAATAGAATAAATTTTTTTTACATAAATCTCAAATGAAAAAAATATTCCTTCTATTTGGAAAATAAAATAAAAATGCTTTCTTATTTCCAATCTCGTTATATTTAGTATATAACGTGCTAATGCAGTTTTATAAAAAAATTCAATTTACTTTCGTATTTTCATTCGACGATTTTAATAATAGCTCAAAAATTTTTCTATAAATATTTTGATGTATTTACAATAGAAAATTTTCAAAAATAAGTAATGATTAAATTTTATTATAATTATTCTAAATACGATTATTATAATAAATATAAATAAATTGTAAATAATTAATATATTTACTTTTTATTTATTAAAAATAGGTGCAACTTTGGACATTCGAATTTAAACAGTTGACTCAGCATATTTTAATGTTGGCATTAATATAGAAACTTCATTCAGGAGAGAGGAAGAGAGAGAGAGAGAGAGAGAGAGAGAGAGGGAGAGAGAGAGAGAGGGGGAATGGAAGGGAAACAGAGAATGAAAGGGCGAGAGAGAGGGGTGAAAGGGATTGTCAATAATATGATTTGTATTTAAGATCTTAAGTCTGATCTTAGATGATCTTACAAGATTTCATTTAGCATGATGCAAACAATTGCTCAGCTCAAAATTATACTAAACAATGTTATTTCAATTAAAGAAAAATCTAATTGTAGAAATACAATTTTTTCTGAAAAAAGGCTTATATAACAATAATATATTTAGCAAGTAAAGATTTGTGAACAAATTCCAATTATTTATTCCAAATTTTTTTTTCAACAAACTATCTTAGAAATTATTTCTAAAATATATGGAGTTCTATAGATAAAATTTTTTTTAATGACAAAATTTTATTCTTTCTTAATTTTATTGTAAGAAACTTATTTAGTTTTTTTATACATATGTAAGTTAAATATAATTACTTCTAAGAAATTATTTTTTGCAAAACTTATAGAACAGATTGTTAAAGTTCAAATGTGCATAAATAGAATGTGACGTGTGGTTTAATGCCTAGATGAATGATCGATTAATAATCCCATTCTATTTATAAGATCTTAAATCTCTTAATTTATCAGCATAAGACTTGATTAAAAGTTGGAAATAATAAGGAAATAATAAGGAAATAGTAAGAGGCCCCTGTATATTTTTGAGGATTTTAAGTTCATAAATCATGGTACTGATTCATGTAACTAAGTTAGATACCAAAAAGGTACCAGAGAAAGAAAAAATAACAAAAAATAAACACTATCAAAATTATGTTAAATAATTAACTATTTATTTGTTTTGGATAATCATAGATTTGGATCAGGAGAAATTACATTATTAGAACTTCCAGACTGGTAAGAATATACAGAAAGTGATGGCGAAATACCGGAATACGTCGTAGGTGTAGGCGATTTTTGAGGAATTGATTCTTTGTATTTCCCTAACTCTGCTTCTATAAGAATCTCATTGATGTAATGTTTAGCCATTATACGTGAATAATTATCCAATTTCTTCAATGTTAATGCCACATATTCGCCATAAGTTTCATTTTCGTCTCGTTGAGATTCTTTTTCTGCAACAGTAGCTTTTAAAATATACATCTCACTTGGCTTATTATCTTCATTAATTTTTTTCTTCTTTGAGACACATTGTTCCGGAGAATGAAACATTTTTAAATGTTTTCTTCGCGATGTGCTATTACACAATTGTAAGCTTCTCTCATGTAACATATTTTCTATTTTCGAGCATGTTACTTCCATTTGTCTTATGCTTTCCTGGTCCTTATAGTCATTATTTTCTTCCACTTGACACATTTCAGAAATCTGGAACAATAAGAATAATCATATTCCCAAACATTAATATTCATTTAGCAATCATATCTGTATATAATTTTTATATATATTTCTCATTGGCTTAGATATAGTGAGAAAAAATTATATAAATGTTATATATCGTTTCAATATACAATGATATAATGCACACTGATAAATTATATAAAAATTTAACAAAGATAAAATCTTATTATTTTAATATAATTTTATTTAAAAATTATTACATTAAAAGAAATTTACTTAGGTTTATAAAGTGCAAATATATGTTTACTTTACCTCGAAAGTACTTCTTGTACCTCTTGGCTTATAATGATCTCCTAAAAACATCATAGCATTATATGCAAACCATTTTGATGATACTTTTTCATCAGTCCCTTTTGCAGAATCAATCACTTTAATTCTTTCTCTTCTATATGATGCCTAGAAAAAATATTCATACATTTATTATTATTAATCAAACACTAATTTACATATATTAAATATAACACACACAATTATAAAATAATAATTTTAAAAGTTATAATTGTCTTTTATTACAATAGATATTATTAATATCTACAAACATATATTTGCTTACTTGTAATGAGAGCCATTTCTTCTTAACATCTAGCACTGTTGTGCCAAATTTGTTGGCAAGATTTTCCCATGTTTCATTTCTTTTCCTACCAATTTTATAATATGGATCTGAAGAATCCCATAGAATTGGTAAATTTTCAATTTCACTAATAAATAATAAAGCCTTATCATTTGGCCATTCCATTATTTTACTAACACTTGTAATATATGTATATTAATATTTTATTTATTTAATGTATAAAACAGAGAGAGGGGGAACGGGAAAAGAAGAGAAAAAGAAAGTGAGACTTCAATAAAGTTTAGAATCCCACATGAATGCCTTGGCTAAAAACATTTGATAACCCATAAGAGCAGGTCGAGCATGAACGATCACGAACGAGTGCTCTTCTTTCTATTACGAATTTCTATCCTTGCTGGGACAAAGCACCATAATTTATAACGAAATTGGATATTTCAGCTTATTATTCTTATTATCGTTACTTCAGTCTTGTAGAAAAATGCAATATCACGATATTGTATCGAATTATACTGAATTTATTATTTTTAGATACTTGTGTGTCTCACAAATAAATATATCTTTCCTTTCAAAATTCTTTGAAACACGTGTCAGATGGACACATCAAACTCTAATCTTTTATTCAAAAGATGATCGTTTTATCACTGTGTAAATCAACATTGAGTGTTTTTCCTTTGATAAATATATCAATAAGAGATGAAACATGTTCGTCGATGTTCGTTTGGGCTCGTTTGTACTCGCGACGATCGCAGACTCGTCAAGTTCGTTCGTAGTTCTTTGTTCGTGCTTGTTCGTGCTTGCTTTGCTTGGTCTGTACAGGTATCTTCTGAATGAACTGATAAAGATGTAAAAACACATTGACGAAAAATTTTTCGTGATTACAAAATGGATCTGGAAATAATTGGAGTTTTGAATTTTATTAGTAAATAAAAAAAAACCTCATCATTTGGCCATTCTATTATTTTACTAATACTTGCAATATACATTAATATTATTTTATTCAACGCAACAGTATTTGAATTTTTATTTAAAATTGCAATTTTAATCGTTAGTTTTATCATGTTTTATTGATCAATAGAAAAAAAATGTTGTTTTACAAAAATACATGACATATGATGCTTGACATTGCGAACATGCATGCTTATTTATGAAATATCTGTGTAATAATAAATTATAAATTTGGCTTATTGCAATAAGTAATATACTACAATTTAATATTGTTATTTACTAATCGTTCAGATATTTACAAATAGTCGAAATACTTGATAATATTTACTCTTCGATTATTTCTGTATCCACTAGGCTTTATTGAGTCTATTTGACAATCATATCTACATATTTGCTACATATTTGTTTTTAGTGTTTCTTGTCAAAGTTGTTAGATATATATTGACAAGAAATGACCATTATTTATCCATCAACAAGGTTTATTATAAAAAAGTAAAGTATAAACGAGCGCGAACGAACATGATGAATTACGAACGAACTTGATGAACTTGATGAATAAAAAGTACACGAGATACTCGAACTTTATAGTACGTAGAAATACTATATTAGTTATATGATTGAAGAATGATGAGAAATTATTACATAAAAATATTTTCTCACAATGATTTTCTTCTCATTTTGTTAAATTCTCAAAAGTTATAATATAAAGAAAAAACGTCATCATGTAAAAAATCCCAATTAAACATTTTCTATATAAAAATATATTTATATATTTATGTAATTATGTATTAATATATTATATATAATTATGTATAACTCATTATATATATTTACATATAATTACACACACACACATATATCTGTATTATATAATTCATATAATTATATCATATATAATATGTTCACTTTAGATATAACTTATATATTTTTATATATGAACATATTTTATGATGCCTTATATATAATCATATGTAATTATATATAGAAAACTTTTACTGGGTTCATTGAAAAGCAGATACAAATCAAAAGTAACATATTTTTTCTGATAATATTTGTAATAAGTGTATTTTTTATTTCAAATGTAGAAAGATTTGGAAAGATGATAAATTAATTAATAAATATTTTATTTGTAATTTTCATTATGAAGCCTATTTGTAAAACTATTAATCTAATTAACATTTTATAAAAAGGAATAATTCTTATTTAAGAAAATATTTTATTTTCAGTAAATGTCACAGTAATTAAGTGATAAAACTTATCTGACCAAATGAATTACTACTGTCGAGAGAGTCAGATTGAAAAAAAAGCACTGATAAATATCATTAAAAATAAGAAAATAACTCATATATATTTTATGACACATTTTGATAAATCAGAATATTGACCTGTTGTATATTAAATTTGTATAATAAAGAATATTTTATTTATAAGACATTGTTCAAATTACTATCAAGTTGGAGAAATTTATTTTTATTATCTAATTTTTTATTATCTTAATAAATAACTCAGAATCTGGTTTTAATATTGATGTTTTCGCACAATTAAAGAATCTTTCGCCATATAATCGATATTGTAATTTCGTATTTGACAGCATGGCATTTTAAAAACAAATTGTAATATGGCATCCTCAGAAACAATAAATGAGATATATTTGTTTATGGAAGCAAGGGTCATTCAGAAAAGTGAATTCATTTTCCAAAGATAAAATTGCAACAAAAATATTGTTAGGTATTGTTGTCAGTAAATGGAAATAGCTTATTAGATATTTTTTTTAAATAGCTTTAAATGATAAACAATAATAACTTTAAACAATAATACAGGCTCACTTAATAAAAATTGTGTTTATATTATGATGAAAATCTTCATATAATTTCTTTAATATATAACGTAGCAAATATTAATCTCTCAATTCTTTATAATTAGATTGTTTGTTATATGTGAACAATTATAGAAAAGAATTAGATTATTCATTTCCTTATCCAAAAAAAAAATTATAAAATTTTTATTATTTAATATAATATTTTAAGATATTTTAGATATATTTTAAAATTTATAAAAAAACTGATTAGCAAGGAAATTAAACTAAAATAAAAAGTAACAAATAATATCAATAAAGTAATAAATTTTATCAGATAGCAATGTATAATTGAATTGCATAATTTATAGATTACAATTTAAATTTTAAAAATAAATTATCTGCACATAACTTGGGAAGACAATAAAATGAAAATGAAATATATTGCTTCTCCCCGGGAAGATATTCCGCTCTTATACTTAAAATCATCTTAGATAAACTTATACGATCATATTATTGGTTGAAATATAATTTTAAAATTTTAAATATAAGAACTGATTATGAACATATACTGCTTTCAATTTCTCTATCATAAACATTTTAGACTTTTTTCATGGAAAAAAGAATGTCACAATTTCAAGAATGCGGAACAATTGTTGAACTTAATAAAAAAATTGACTTGCTATTTAATGGAATCCACATTCGGCAAAGATTATAAAAATCTCTAAATCGAGATAATTTAGATTATCGAAATGCAACAATAATCAATATAATGCTACTTCTATTTACTTTACATAATATTTATAATAAGTTTCTATGTAAAACTTTTATACTTGGATTTGCAGCAGCGACAAAACCGATTTTTTCAGTTGTAGAAATTATGATTTTTTTCAGTTGTAGAACTATGTTTGAAATACTTCAGTATATTTTAACTTACAGATTTTCGCAAAATAGCATTGAATTATTTGTGAGAATTAAAAGCAGGCATAATTACAATAATAATCCTAATTTTTTAATATTCAAATATACTAAACAAATTCTACATAATGTTCCATCAATAAAGTGAATTCATTCAAATATATTAAGTAATAGAAAATTATGTATTATTAGAATGTGATCTCATTAGTCCATTCTTCTTATAAAAAAAAAAGTTATTACATTGCGATTATGCATTATGATACATTGTAAAAAAATTATATTCTACTATTGAATGTGATTTTTGCACTACAAATCTTTTAGCAAAGTCACGAATAAATTATTTTTGTACTGAAAAATTTATTGTTGATACTACGATGATTTAATTCATCACGAAGCATTAATTTAAAATTTAGAAATAAAAAACTTATAGACAGAATTGGAAACAGAAAATTTTACAAAAATTTCTCTGACAAATTTTGATTTAAAAATATTAATGCTTATTAAAAGTTTTATTTGAACTCTTCAATTTTTTTGAATTTTAATTTGAATTTTAGTGTATAGACATTGAATTATCAGAATTATCACATAAATTACAACTTATTTATTTCATCATTAGAAAATATATAAATATATGCACTCGTACAGTAAATTTTATGCGCAAAAAATTATTATGCCTCGCAGAAAATCATTTAACTTAGCAAATATTATTTCCAACAAATAAAATATTTTACAAATTGTTTTCAATTTATCACACATAAGCCTTATAATTCTTAGTTTGCATATATACACTTTCTTATCTTTTTTCATCCTGTCTTAATTAATAATAATTATTTTACAAAAATATATTTTATTATTTTAATTATATATTTTTATGATATATATTTTTATTATATGTACTAATTTCACCTTTTTATTAATATTTCAAAGTTCAAAAAATAATTATTTAAAATTTAAACTATTTAAACTATTTATTATCATTGCTTTAAATATTTTATTATTTTTACGATAATTTCATCGGTAATCATTAAAACATTAAAACAACTATTTTAAATTTTATTATTCAATTTTTATTTATTCATTATTTATTATAAGTTTATTATAATTTTGAATCAATAATTTTGATTGCTGTGACTAGCTTTATAATTTATATATGAATGTGTCACACACTTCAAAACATGATTTCCAAAAATATAGCTTCACATAGCAACAATATATAATAAAATAAGCAAATAATATATAAAATAATATATAAAAATTTGATATTTGATAATTTAGTAGAACTTGAATTTTCTTGTTTTTTTCAATATTTAAATAGAATAATATTATGCCACTGTGATTACAAAAAACAAATTTCAAAAATAAAAATAAAGATTATTTAATGCAAAGTACTTGCATTCATTAAGAAATAAAATATTCTAAGAATAAAAAAAAAATATTCTGGCATTAAGTGATTAAGCTTTTTCTGTAAAAAGAATATGAAAATATAAAAATATATGCTAATTATTGATATTGAGTCTCTCAGTAAGAACATTATGAAGATTATTGTCTTTTAGAGATATTTATTAAAATTAGACACATAAATTAAAATTAAAACATTTCTGAAGATTATTGCCTCCTATGGAAAAGAAAAAAGTCTATATTATAATAAAACTCTTTTTCTTGGATCTTATTGAACTACTGTATCGTGTGATTTTTATAGTCGAAAATTCAATAAAAAGCTTAAATATATCGACAAATATATTTCATCTTTTATTGATATCAAAGAATTAATTCATTCATCGCAATACTTGTCCGTGATCATCTATTCTTATTAATTTGAACTCATTTTAAGAAATCTTATAAAAATATATTTGTTGATATTATATATTTATAAAAAGATATAAAATAATAACAAATAAATGAATATCAATAATCCAGTTGTATAATTATTTGAAAATTATTAATTTATGTCGCTATTATTAACATAAATTATACTTTCTAGCAGTCATTTAAATTGTCGTTTAAATTATTAATAAAATATTATGACAGATTTGTCAAATGATACTTTTTACAATATCTATATTTGTATAATATAAAACAGATATTTATTGCAGAAAGTAAGAAGAAAAAGATGTTGAAAGTTACAGGAAATCCAGCTGAAAATATAAGAAGTCCATATCAAAATATAATAAATCTAATGCTCATTTATACATTTGTATTCGTATAATAATGTAAATAATCCCGGGATATTATAAAAACATAGGTAATACACATGTATATAGGAAAATGATAAACTGTGTAAAATTGTTTCTTTTTCTTGAAATCACAAAATGACACAGTTCCAAGTTTAAAATACAATTATATCTGATAGAATATAGTCGTACGCGCACGCATGTTTGTTCAATCCTGATGCAAAATTAATTCATCAGATAAAATATTTTTAATAAAAAGACAGACAAGCGAAAATCATTACATCATCCGTTAGAAATTCTTAAATAAAGAAAGATATATCTCACTAGGCTTCCCGATTTGTGTACTTTATGACCGAATAATTCATGAGCATGACTAAATTGTCCGTCTAATTATAAATTGTTAAATGTTTTACAATAATATTTACATCATACATGTCATTCACAATATCCTTGCAATGACTTTACAAGTGATTTTGATTAGCAATGTATTCCATTTGAAACAAAAAGAAATTCAATCACTTGCTAATCATTGGTTAGCACTAATTAATGTCAGTGCAGCTAGCTGAAAAACTAACTTTATACAAACAATAGTTCAATTGCAAACCACTGGCGATTGATAATAGTGGGAATATAAGGGCCCAATTTAAATGCCCAAGCGACTGAAAACATCTGCTCTTTTGACACGTGTTACTGTTGCTGTTTTACTAAAAGTCACTTGTTTGGCAGTAGTCGCGCCCAGACGTGCTTTGGCTGGTATGGAGACAAGTCGCTCAGAAGCTATAATAATAAAAACACCAATAAAGACTGTTCCTATATATATTACCTATACATTATAATAACATTTGTATAACATATATACATACCTAATTTGCCAGATGCAACAACTGGTTTGGTAATACTTGGTTTAACATCAGGTATCACCTCCTTTTTTAGCTTCAGTATACGACTTGTGCTGTTCAAAGTAGTTTTTTGCTAGCTTCATGATCAGCATGCATAGTGCCAGTAGTTTTAGGAATAGCTCTGTTTGTCATTATAATTGATGTCCGTACACTAGGCGATGTTCGATTTTTTAGTATACCTAGTATACCTGGTGAACTGATAGCGTTTGATCCATTCTTAAGTATTCCTGCAGTTGGATGATCTTTTTTGTCATCAATGTCGCCAAGACGTTTAAAAACACTGTTCGATCTCTTGAATATATCTTTACCAACTCCAGTAATATTGAAAGTAGGCATTGCATCAGCTAAATTGGTTGTACTTGTAACCGAGCTGTCACCTAATCTATCAAATACTGTTCGTTTTTGCTCAACAGACTTTTTGAGCACTGGAGTACTTCTTACAGTTGTTACCTTTGGCGCAGCGACAGTGTATTCGACAGTATCATCTTCACTACCATTTGTTACCTTTAATTTTTTTTCTACAATATTCCAATTGTCTTCATCATTATCTTGATATGATTTTTCTGGCACTAATTTTCTTTTCACAGATATCTGCTTTTGATTAACAGCATTGGTAGTAATTGATGTAGAAATTGGTTTTCTTACAGTCACAATTTTTTTTGTGGCAGGTAAAGTAGATGTAGGTTTAACTATTTTTTTTGCAATATCCGTTTTAGGTGCTGTTAAAACTACCGTTTTATTTCCAATTTCCTTGACTACTTTCTTTACAACAGGCTTCGCAGAAACTTTTTGAGTTGGAGGTACGTCTTCTGAATCAACTAAAAATCTCTCACATGTTGTTTCTTCCACAACTTTCTTGGCATATCTCAAAATAGCAATCATATCACCCATTAATGTGATACCCATTTCCTTAAGACTAGGCTTATCTAAATCTGGCAACATATCTGGTTTAATACGATTATTTGAAAACACAACAGCATGTTTAGTTGCCACATCTTGTGGAAATCCTGCTCCTTTAAAAAATTTCACCCAGTAAGCTAGAAAAAAAAATAATTATATATGTATCTATCAAAAATATTTAATGCTTTTACTTTAACTAAGAAAATATATATATATTTTATATAGAATATTTGATATCATTACTGGATCATTTGAGGCAAAAAGAATACGATATTAATTTATTTATAGATTTAGGCATTTTTTAAAATGGCGTAAATTAATAGTTTTAAAAATCACAAATGTAAAATACTATTGAAAAAAAAAGTTTATAACATACCTGACAAGGATGCAGCCATTTCAACAATGGGAGCGCGCGACAAGTTTTGCCTTGTATGATTTCTCGTTGTAATATTAATAAATTCAGAAACCGGAACTTTTTCCCTTAAAAGAATATTTTTGCTCGTTCGCTGTACATGTTGTAAAGAGCCGCCGCAAATAATTTCCGAGTTGCATTCATACAGGAAACTACGTTCGAATCAACAAAATCCACAAAAGATTGATAATTGCACCAATTCCAAATTATTTCTAGCTATACTTCATATCAATGTGAAGAGAAATTATTAATAAACACGAGAATTTCTCTGAAGCACTACCATGTCTATATATGTATACAGCACATACATATGCGTACAAAAGCGAATTTACATAAGTCACGAACACGAAAGGACTTATGTGTTAAGGGACATTTTCATGAAACGAAACAAACTAACTACTACTGAGTGCTTTCCATTTAGTGACACAAGTTATCGTTTTATCTTTCTTGGCTTTCAATGATTAACAAGGACAAAATGATATTTGTGTCGATTTGTGTCACTAAATGGAAAGCACCCACTATTTCTTTTAAGAGTCGGCAGGAGTGACGAGCTAACTCCGACTTGATCTAAAATGATTATCTACTCCTTATTTACAGTGCAGATCTGTACTCAATTATATTTTGTCTTATAAAAACGATGTTTCGTCATGAAATTTTGTTAAGATAATTTTTTTACAATTACGAAGCTACCCACAGAGCCAATTTTGCAATTTAGCTCTTAAATAATTAAAAATAAAT